GGCGACGAAGACATACTTTGTAAATTAGTTCAACGATAACCAACTGCAGTATGTCGCCAAAGTTGGGCACTTGATCCAAACAAGAGCCTAAATATGACAATGCTGTGCTCTGATCTGCGTGCAACAGCATCAAAAATGCATTTCTCCTGCACGACATGTCCTGTTCACCCTCCAAGTATTTCGCGATTAATTCGGGAGCATCTGGTATGAGAAACTCGAAGTTTCTGTATATTGTGAAAATAGCGAGAACGGCGTTGCGTCTAACGTAAGAGTGTCTGTGCTCCAGGCAGGCAATTATTGCTGGCATTAGCGGTTCCAAAAGTTCGGGTTCCTTCAATTTACACAAAAATCTGAAAGATGCAAAAGCATTCTTGTGATCATGCACGCTTCGTTCGGTAAGATATACCATTCTCTCGATTAATACCTAAGAGTTGAACCTCTGACAAACTCATTCGGATGCTGTAAGTCCTTTCTGTAAGCATCGCAGACTAAAATCATTTCCTGAAGCAACTTGCCATCCGGAGAGGTCTTTGGAACTATTTCCCAGAATATTAATAGAAGCTTCTTAATAGTATGATCCTGCAGCGGCAGGACAAATCTGATAATAGTCATCAGAAGTCCTGGCAGCCGTTCCCCACTGAGGATCATGTGAATTGTTTTCTTAAGGGCATCGATCTTTGTCTGCACATCCCCTTTTTCAAGATCTTGCTTAAGCTGGAGCTCATTCAATGGCTCCGTATCGATTGGAATGTTTATCAAAGTATAGCAAGGTTGTTCCGCAATCGTGCTCATTTTGGCTGATGTTACACACTTTGCCAAGAAAGTCTCCTCTTACGACCTGGAATCAAAACAACGTATAGCAGTGTATTTTTAATGTTTACACCCTGAATTAGTTATTGGTATAAGCGTTAATGCACTCAAAAAAAAGTACAATTTCATTCTGAGATGCAAATTGTATTTTTCTCTAAACAAGTAACAGATAAAAAGTCGTGCATCTTTCACTCATTAATCGATATATTTGACCAGATAAGAAACGTGTCTATCTCGAAGTAACATTACTCGAGAAACAAATCTGAAGTGAGGTTAGGTCAAGTGCAACTGTATGTTTCGCGTGACATCACAAGCCTCCATAATTTTTTGGAGATGTTTCCGATGCTGGACGTACCTGATCACGTGAAAATCGCGGGGAAACGATGGATAGCGATATTTTCCCAGTGGACAACTGACATTTATGCGAATCCGGAAACAAGGGAAACCGCATACGTGTCAAACCCCCTACATTAGGGAAATATCGAAATAAGAATAGATAGCGCTACTGTCGTCGCCTCCACGTAGATCACAGATCACAGATCTTCGAAAATTTCTGTACGAAACTTTTATTAAAAAGAATTTTCAGTTGGGGGATCAATAAAAAACGTTAGCAGTATTCGAAATTCCATATGCTGATGCAGAAATTAATGTATTTACACGCTAAACTATATTATTGTTTTAAACTTACAGAACCATAAACTCTTATTAGGAACCATTTTGAGTTGAGGGATCAATCATAAACGTTAACAAATTTAGAAATTTATTAGCTTTCCTATTTCCTATTTATAAACTAAATATCACTCTTCTTTATTTTATGAAAGCGTGTTCGAGTTTTCTTATCATTGCGTTACTTCGTTAACGACTGACTAACATCTTGTGGTCTAGTTCTCAAGTTTGTCGATTAAAGCGTTGCACTTGGTTTCTTATCGTAATCGATAATGATGGGAGTGATACTAAATGATAATGGGGATTTCTGAGCCTGATTCGCGAGTTATAAATTTTCATAAAGTGACAAGTCTATTCTACAACTCATCTTTAATGTAAATAGTGTCAAAGAGTGAATAAATAGTTGTAGAAATAAAATGACAATGAATTCTTAATAATGAATTCTTGAAAAGGTTTTCAAAATCTAGTTTAATAACGCGTCACAGACGCGCTATCGATCGCGTTTAGTCGTTAAATCGCTAAAAATCACGTACAACTTACGTCGTTGTTTATCTTTCATTAAAAAATTTGTTTAATTTAGGTGGCACGTGCAACACAAATCATGATCATTTTTATCGATGCAAGAGGAGGAGAGTATACAAAAGTTTCCCAATTACGTAATATTATGCAATAATCATTGATCGTATCGCTGTTATTTTTCACATCGATACTATTAATTTATATCACGCGAGATAAGCGATCTTCGTTAATAGAATACTTTAACTGGAGCACCACTGACCTAGAAAACAAACTGAACTGAATAGACCCTAATTGAGATTAAAGAAGCAAATAATTTCTTCGTGAATTTCGAACGTTATGAATTACGTTCGCGAAAAGTAATTCGAACGATGATAACATTAATAATATGAAACATTATGCGCAAGCACTCGATTCAGTTTCGTGACGAGGAGAGTAGAATTATTTCGACGAAACCGCACGTGTCCGCGTTAAAACGATTATTCAGCTATTCAGAATATTCTAAAGCAATTGCTTTGTAAGCACGGCGAGTTGTTTTTTTGTTGTCGAGCAACATATTCCATTTTTGCTGTACTATCGACGCGGCGATAAACTCTTGATCTGTTATAACGAACGATCAGATCTCCATGATTGGCAAGTACACTATTTTTTGTTCGGTTTGCGCAACCAGCAACAGCGTTCGGTTCATCGAAAGTAAATCGAACGAATGTACTCCATTTCGATTATGTTTAGACCCACCGCGAATTCGCGATATCGCGATATTAATAGAGAAAGTCACGGTTGGTCTATACGGAAAGTTCTCCATGAGTAATCGGTGACCCACGATAAAGTAAGTGCATTGTGCAAGATAATGCCGCATTATTTAACGATATTATGAAGCATTCCACGTTGCTACGGATCTTAATAGAAGCCTTTTTAAACAAAGGTTTTACATAGGTCATCGTTGATCCATGACCAGTTTATTGCACGCAATGATTGCGCTAATATGGTCATTTTAATAAGTATTTCGAGATACCGTGCATTTTTGCGATTATTTTAAACGATACCTCGGCAATGTTATCTCTGGGTCGCCGATGACCCACGACGGAATTCGAATTGCATTAGATGACGGTGGATTTATTAATTTTTTTGTGAAATGATTGGATTGTATGATTTTCGTTAAGGATAAATACTATTCCATAATTCAATTAAACCTTACTAATCTCTGCTTGAAAACTTGAATGGATTCGAAGGAAAACGGCGTGGGTCATCTATGATCCACGCTACGGTAAACGCATTACACACTGCAGTTACGAATTATTATTAGTTAAAGTATTTATCACCTTCTGAACAGCATAACGTGTATTTTATTGTTGATATTTCATGTATTTTTGCATTCATGCACATCCTCGTACATTTTCACACATTTTCCCTTGCACGATTTAATTATTAACCCTTTGCGCTCGGGTGGCGCCTCTAGGGCGACATATGTAATTTAAAAGTGATTTTGTGATGTTTTTCTTCGAAGTAGAGTTTTTGGTGTCACAGAAACTTATTATAAAAATGGACTGGATTTGATTCTATAAAAAAATGCCTCGAGCGCAAGAGGTTAAAACATTATCTAGAAAAATGTTGTAGAAGATTACGAGACCCTGAAAAATAAAAATCATAGCTGTTCAGTGAACAGCATATAATTATTTAACAGAGAACTATGCAAGAAATTCGTCTCGTTTGGAATCCATCTTGGATAAACGTTGAAGAAAGGAGAAATCCTCATGGTCTCACCCTGAAAATTTTTTCAAATTCCTGCACGACCGATTCCTATTGCATCAGAGAAAATTAGCGACTAGACCACGGTGCCCTCGTGTGCGGCAGCTAATTGCGAACGTCTCGACGCGACGGAGCCGATCTTCAATTATTTCCCGTCTCTGTCTTGCTTACTTTTTTCGATTAACTCCTATTACACTGGGCCGCTGCATCGTCTGCACACAAAGGGGGTCACACACACGTCCGTGTCTCGTCGGTACTCTCCCGTTTCATTCCTCCGTCTTCCTTTCGCTCCGTGGCCACGTAAGGAGTTCCACGGGGTGAAGATAATCATCGGAATCATCGTTATTGACCTAAACTGTTTTGCGCTTGCCACGTTGTCGGCGGCACCCTGTAGACGACCCCATCGGTCTCGCTTAACCGACCATTGAATCGCAGATGAAATTTTGATGAGTTGCACGAGCTTCGGTTTCTTGGTCGAAATTACGCTCGGGGCGATTGTTTCGTTGTTGCCACATCGATGCCGATGCCGTCTTGCGAAGATTTCCCTGTATAGTTTCTTCCATTTTGCAACAATTAACTTCGAGATTGTTGAGATGAACTTGGTTCTATTTATTTGACTCACATCTCACTTAAGAAGTAAAATACAGTCAGTCCCATAAATGATCGCACCATCTGTGTCTATTACAAGAATTCAATTAAATGACAGGCTTGATGTTTCCAAATAAATGTTTCATTATATATATATGCACATGAATAAACATTACACACGTATATTTTTATAAGGAAACAGAAATTTATTTATAGGGTAGATGACAGCGAAAAGGTTCACCATGGAAGTTCCCCAACTAATACCAACTCAATTAATACCAAAGACTCACGTCAAACCAACGGAGACTCGCGTCAAACACAGATCCAATTTCGTCCACATCTGTCCCAACTCGGATCAATCTAGCGCGTTCGAAACACAGAAAGCATTCCGTGTTCGACCCAGAAAATTCGCCCCGAGTCGAAAGGAATCCCCCTTTCTCCTGACGCTGCAAACCTTGGCAAACAGTTTCGTGTCGCATGACAAAACAGTACGATATCAACTTCACCTGTCATCGTTAGCAGTCGAATCCGACTATCCGGCATTCTTCGATGCGATAAGAATCCGCATCAAATATGTTACAAACGTGACGACCTTGCAAACAATCCCGATTGTGCGAACGGGCCAGCGACACGTTCCGTCGGATAACAGCGGGATTTAAAATGCGAAGGATCGGTGGACGTCTTGAGTAGCACAAGGACCATCTCATCGTCGATATCGTCGCGTTTTAAATAGCTGGCAACCTCTTTTCGTTAACTAGCGCGTTATGGATCGTGTGCGGCAAACAATACGCGTCGCGCTTTTCGCTGCGATGCTAGTCGCGGTGCTGGACGTCTCCTTAGGAGACTCGCGGATACCCTTGACGTGCAAGAACATCGCCAGGGATGCCATCATCAACAGCTGCAAGGGGCCCAGGAGCAAACGATCCGTTCAGGAGCAAAGACCGTTGGTCCGAACGTTGACCATAGGTGAGTTGGGATGTGTTTGTTGGAGTTGGATTGTAATAGGAGTTGGATACAGGCGAGCAGTTGACGTACTCGGGGTTAGGGTACTCCTGATGAGGAATTTGTTCGTTAGATTTAGATAGGAAGCTGAGAAAACGAGGGATTGGAGTTTTAATAGTTGCCAGTACGTTTGACAGAGTTGGATTGAGAATAGAAAATGTTGACGAACTGTTTAGAATACTAGTTAGGGTACTCTTGATGAGGAATTTGTTCGTCAGATTTGGATGGGGAGCTGAGAAAGCGAGTGATTGGAGTTTTAATAGTTGGAGTACGTTTGACAGAGTTGGATTAAGAGTAGAATATATACTTTTGGAGTATTCCTAGTTAGGGTATGATGGGAATTCGTTCGTTAGAGACTGGTGAGACGTGTGGTGAGAATAAGCAACCATTTGGGACCTCAGTGGTTGGGATACGTTTGGTACAGTTTGATTAGGAGTAAGGCATAGACGAGTTAGATCAAGAGTGGAATGTAAACGGCGTGTTAAAGTATTCGTTCGTTAAAGGTGGGTGAGAGTTGTGCTGAAAATAAGCAACCAGTTGGAGTCTCAGTAGTTGGGATACGTTTGATACAGTTTGATTAAGAGTAAAGTATAAACGATTCGGATTGAGAGTAGGATATAGGTAAGCAGTTGAGGTATTTGTTCTTTAGAGATGGGTGAGAATAAACAATCAGTTTTAGCCTCAGTAGTTGGGATACGTTTCATATAGTTTGATCAAGAGTAAGATGCATGTAGCAACGCATGTAGCAACGCATGTGAGCAACGCATGTAGAGTGTCAGGAGGTTAGTGACCGAGCAATCTGTCTTTCAGATGGGTTAGATTCGCCAGCGGAGCCTGCCACCACTCAAAAGAAGCGGCAATGGAGAACTGAGATACTGCCAACTGGAATGATAGGACCGATGGGGCAGTTGGGACCGATGGGGTCGATGGGGCCGATGGGATCGATGGGACCGTACTCTATTGGAGCAACGGACAACACCTACCACAACATGGGATTCAGTTCTCCAGGCCTGCAGATCCAAACTGACGAGGGCGCCAGTATGACGAGTCAGATGATGGGTCCAACGACTAGTTTCGCACCCTTTCCCGGAAGATATAGATATTCTGTAAGTATACAGTGTCCTTTCGTATTAACAATCTGGTTAATTGATTCAATAAAGAGAATAATATTATAGGGGGACAGAGTTAGGTACCAAGATGGCGACTTGAGTAATATGAAGATACAAGTACCTTATGCACGTACATATTGGATTAAAACGTTGGATTATTAATGTTAGGATACGACTGCTGGTCTGTACGCCCTTTCACACCGCAAGTTTTAATTCGACTGTTTCGATTCATCCATGTTTGGCTGTAGTTGTAGAATTAAAGGAGTAGCGGAAGAAAAATTGTTTAAAAAGGGCTCTTAATGGTAAAAATCTCGAATCGATCGATGGCAACTTTCAGTTGGAACAAGTTCTCAAAGTATGTGTATTTTTCAGCTTTATGAAAACGAGTAGCGCCCTTAAGTGACTGCTCGATGCCACTCCCACCACTGTGAATCACGCAAGGAACGACTCTTCCTCCTGCAACAGTGCTGTCCACGGATTTGATCACTCGTGGTTTGCACGACGTTATTAGTCGAAGTTCGTTTATCCGGTGACAGAAAACAGAGGATACTCTGTTGATTCCGGAATATACTATGGACGACAAGGAGGAGTCGACCTTCAAGTTTACACAACGAAGCGAGAAACAGAGTGGTGGGAGATACTTGTTTAGTGGCCTCGAGCAGTCAATCGAGAAACGAACTATATATTCGCGCTTATGTTACGTAGAAAATATTACGTAACATAACATAACATCGACTACGTTAAATTGTTGAGTTGAAAGATGGGTTGAAAGAGTGAATTGAAACTGTTTGGTTTTAAGTACTGACCAGTTTGATAGCGTTATAATAGCCAGTAGTAAAACTTGTTTGAAAATGTTTGGGATATAATGGTGGTGTGCTTAATCATACGATGTAACAAAATATTTAAAAAAAGAATAATAAAATTTGGTTTTGTGTAACATTCAAAAATATAAGACGAAGTTAAATGTTACTACCCTGTATTAATAAAGTATCTTTGGATTAAGATTGACCATAAGTTTGTTAAAAAAGTGGCACCTGAAATAAGTGGATATCAAATATTTCATATATAAAGATTCGAACCAATCTTTCGAAGGAATGCAATCTTGTCAGGTTTATGAGTAGAAGAAGAAAGAAAGTAATTGCATTTCTCCACGAAACAGATCACGGTATAGACGTAACCGGAGTGTCAGAGATAATTTGCATTCTATAAATTCTCGATGCTAAAAATAATTGAACTATTCACTTTTCAATTTGTTAATCTTTATTTTTGTTAAATTCAAGCTAAGCTTCGAAGACCTCGAAGAGCTTCACGAGGAGGTCGGCGAGAGGTTCGTGAGGAATTCCAAGGATTTGAACAAGAAAATATTTCTGAAAGTTGCTGCGAAGTGTTGTCCAAACGTGAAGCTGTGCATGGACGATCCGAGCCAAGTCCCGTGCATGGGATTTCCCTGACGGGGCACGCGAACGTCGCTGTCGAGTTTCGAACGAAAACCGCAGCCAATATCTAAAGCTTTAATATCTAAACTTTTTAGAGAATGGGTCTTCCATCGCTAGTACTTAAATATTCGAGCGTGTTTGAAGAATCCTCGAAGAAATAAAGGACACATTGCATCCACGCACTTACCCTGACATCCCGCAAAAATTTCGTTAGAGATAACTAAATAAAATTGGATTACGACAGCGCTGGACGTTATTCCAGCAAATTTTTATTCGAATAGCGTACGAATTAACGTTACCCGACTCAGTCGCAATTCGGGCCAAATTAACAGCTCGAGGCTTATTGTTAGATAGATAAACATTCGAAAAATAGCTCACGCTCTCATTCTTTGTTTACACGAAATTGATCCAATATCTGTTTACAACGCGATTAATGAATATTGCTCGTTCAGCCTTGATAATTTCTCCGGCATCGTAAACGTAAACACTTCTTCGAATTTCCCCAGGAACTCGTGCGATGTTAGCAATAATCATTTTCGTTTTCAAACAAGCTGATACAATTATCTGTGACGTTGCAGTTTGTCTAAAATAGTAAGAAATATTAAAAAGATAGTGGTCCGATGCGAAACTACAGAAAAGGAAAATAGAAAATGGCAGACAAAATACAACTTGTCAAGGAACAAATAGAAGAAAGTCATTTCCACGAAATACAATTAAATCACGGAGAAAACATTTTTTTTAAAAACAGATCCGTACATAAGGCGATCGAAGTGTTTTAATATTCTTCGAGTAAATTTGCTCGAGCATCCCGGGGGGCAAACATTGATCCAAAAAATGTGAACATGCCTCGCGCGCACTCTAGCGGGGCCCGCGGAAGTCCACGTCGACGGTAGCGCCGTCTATGTTCTATCCCCACCACTTACGCACGTAAACTAACCTATATTGTACATGTGAATAGGATGGTATCGGGAAAATGAAACGCTACGGACTCTATTCGTCTCCTTCTCTATATATACAAAGTTTATCTGCTACTAAATATTTATTAACAGACTTCTTTCAAAGCGGGAGTTGTCAAAACGTGCGATTGCAAAGTATACATGTACCCGCCCACAAAAGGGATGAAAAGGACGAAATATAATATTAAACTCGAGTCGGCTGGGCGATGTAAGAACGAAAGTTGTATATGTGTAAAAGGAGACGAATAGAGTCAGTGCCGTTTTATTTTCCCGAAGCTGTCCGATTTACGTTTCTATATTTCAATCCACGTTGTCGTGGATTAAAACATAGGCGGCGCCACAGTCGGCGCGGGCCTAATCTGGCTTCTCTGGCCTCGAATCATCTACAAGCCCAAACGGCATCATCTTCATCTGAAAGTGCACTTGCACGTACCGCCAGAGACGATGTCCCGTAGTGGGTTTGCTACTATCATCCAATTTACAAGCGAACCGTGTGCAGCGGTTAATGGCTGTCAGTGTAATGGGCTACTTGTAAGTAGCGATGGGCTCGAAGCGTCCAGCCCACGCGAGCATAAATAGAGAATTCAAGTATCGAATAAGAAAAGAACCGAGCGGACTTTAAATAGAAACATTTATTCGAAATGAATTTATTCGACGAATGAAGATACTTTCGACGATGAATTTTTTTGATTGATTTCAGTTTCGATTGAGAAAATTGAGGATACGTTCGAATCGAAATAGATACGGTTGTCTATTAATGATTTTATGTATACCGATATGTATTATATTTTGATATGGCAGCGATGGATGTTCGACATGAAAATCAACATTTCAAGTAGCAACAGATCCGAAGTGCTCGTCACGAAATACTTCAATAAACAGCGAATTCTCCTAGATTCGACGTGGCTTGCTACTGATTGCCAGTTGAAAAGACGAAGATTCTATTATCGTGCTCGCTTCTTGTGCACGAGTATCGTCTAACACGTTGATGTCAACGTGACCTGTTAATAATTAAATCTGCCAGAAGATGCACTGTTCAGGAACCGACTTCCAACAAGGAAACTTGGATCATTTCTTGAATGCAAAACAAAAAGAAAAAAAGAAAAGCAAAAAGAAATTTCAATGAAAAGAGAGACTATAAAAATTATAGTAGACACTGGAAATAATAACGAAGTTTGATCGTTGTCTAGTATTATGTATTAAAAAAAAATCAACATATTTATTAGTCGTAATCCTTCACGACAAAGGGTGTCACACCGACGCCATTGAAAGTTTCTTGTAACATTCCAAAGACGCCACTACGGCGCCACGTCGTTATCGTTCGTTATGTAATGATATTACTTTGATTATGACAGCGTTAGATGTTTGCGAATTTGTTATCCTAACGCTCGTTATACGCGACTGTCACAGTGAAATAAATTATTGGTATTTGTACCGTCCCATACATAGAAAGGCCTCCTTTCATGAAAATTGCCTAGACTCGACGATATTAGTTCCTCGTTTAATTTAATTAACGAACCGTCTCGCTTTTACTATTTATTTATTTCACCGAACGGCCTTGCTCATACTTCTTTTCTATAAATATCCGCATAGTACGACGTTAATTATATTAATAAACCGACAACCTAAAAAATCGAGATCAAAGAACTCGAAGCGGCACGGGGATCCACGTTTCGACCACGTTTTTATCGGATGATAAACGATAATCGTTACTTCTATTCATAATTTTCGTTTTATTTCGCTTCTTGCAACAAATGTGGCACAAGCGAGAATGAAAACACGATGTATCGTGGAGAAAGCAGGGTGAAAGGGCGAGGTTCAGCGAGTTGTTGTTTTGCAACCTAACCTTAATTATGTTTTCAGTATATGTTACATCAATATTATGGTATATCCGGCGACTAATTATATAGAGTGCAAAAGGTTACCTTAACTGCCAGTTAAATTCGTCTATGTATTTAAGAAAACAAGAAGTATAAACTATGACATAGTGCTGTAACAAACTGTATGTTAATATTATTTTGAAAAGAATTTTAATTTTTCTTTAATCGAAGAAGATATTAAAATCGAAATAATTAATGTTACGGAACATTTGTTTAAAAATTCTGTTGTATTATCGTCGAAAATTGATTATTAGTGGATTTTAGAGCAATTTATCGAAAAACTTTGATCCCATCGCTACTGACATGCCGGTGGTTACGCAAGACCGACACGTGTTCGTTGCAAATCGCTGATCGTGTCTTCAACCGCCCCCTCCTCCCCTTCCCCTGATCCCCCGCCCGCCCCTCAATCGGTACACCAGGACAGGAAGGAAAAACAAGACGACCAAGTAGCAGTTCAATCGGTATAAATACTCATTTATCCTTAACAGAGGTGGAATACAGACTACAGCAAATGTTCGAAAGCGCTTGTGGTAAATATACAACATATATAGATACATTACACATACGTGCACGCGTATGCAGACAATACAAACGTTGAGATAATCTCTGGCGACCGTGTTCGTTTCTTTCTCTCGACGGAACGCGAAATTATCGACCGAAGAAAGAAAGATCAGTCCTCAAAGGAGTTACGACCCGAACTGGGTCAGACAAATAAAACGCTATTGGACACCGTCCACATTCTAATCGCTCGCGATACAAATTGAAGACAGGCGAAATTTTTCATTGGATCATCGTTTCAAACGACCGACCCGCGGATTTTCACGCAAACAAAGTTAAACAAAATTCCAAAGTAAAAGATTTTCTATTTAGGTTCAATTATTGCTGGTACATTTGCATGAAGATCCGCGGTCTACAAATGACGAGCAAAACTCGGAAATATATTTACAGTACGAAACAGCAGACGAATAATAAATTTAAAACAAATATCGCGAACGAAGCTTCGATCGTCATCTGTCGTTCGAATCGAATTTTGCCCTACGCTCGAGACTGACATTTCATCCCTCGAAATACATTCCCCGACAGATTTTCTCTCAGTCCGGGGGTTGGTACGGTTGCCCGATGTTTCCGGCCGAATCGCCCTTAGTGACTAGTTCCGTTAGCACTAACGTTAAAAAATAATTCATCGATTTAATACTAGTGAGATCATCGTTCGACAAAGGAGCTAAAAATCATCGGCAACCGGAAGAGGAAGGAGCCCTCGCGGCTTCTTGAGTTCTTGCGATGGTTCGATTACATACATACAAGTTTATAAAAAAAAAAAAAGACGAACAAAAAATATATATACATACATACAGACGTACATGAACGTACAGTACAACCTCGATAATTGCGCGATGTTAAAAATGAAGAATGACGATCTAATAATAGTTGATAGTAACGATACGTCGTTCTTCACTGGATTACCCAAATACATGTAACTAAGGAGGATCTACTGTACGTGCATTCGACACTTATTTAAGTCTTTCTCTAAGAGATCGCGCGACTAATATCAAGCCCGATCGTTCGAACTTCGTTCTCGGATCGGTTTCTGTCGCAAAACTCGACGCAACTGCGACTCATTCAATAGAAAAAAAAAAAAGAAATGATAATATACATATACAGGTATGTAATATACATATATATGTATACGAAACGACCAATCTCTCACCCGTTCGATCGACGAAGGGTCGTCCTCGAAGCGAGTTATTCGGAGGCGTACCTCTGTGGTCGCTGGCAGGCTGTAATCGAGCTACGAGTCGACGGTACCCGTCGACTATAATAATGGTTCTAGCGTCGTTCTTTCTGGCTCGGTCCGAGCAAAAAGCATGTCATCTTCGTCTCGAGTTACTGTCCCGTGGATTCGAGGGGAGGATGAAGCTGCTCGTCTCACAAACCGTGAATACAACGACCAATTATCACTCTTTTATGGGACTAGACGTCTTACTGATTGGTTGCATCCATTTCCAGCTGTATCCTCTTCACCGGTATCCGTGAATCGGATACCGGTGAAGAGGATCGATATTCTTGGTGTCGCGCCTCAGCTGGATCCTCGTTTCATCATCCTCCGTCTTCTCCGTCTTCTTCGTCTCCTATCGACGGATCTGCTCGAAGAGCCACGAAGCTTGGGAAACGAGAGTTCCGCGATAACAACGTTGATTCGACTCCAACGTTCCTGGGCTGTTCTCTTCTCGCCTGACCGGGACTGCGTGTCTTACGGGAACGGCGAACCCTTGGACTCCCCGTTCTCCGGCGTTCCGTCAACTGGTGCCTTGTCTGGTACCTGAAACGAAGGAAAGGGCGTCGTTAGTCAGGTTGATGGTAGCGAGATACCAGTGATGAGATGGCAACTTTGAGGGGCTGTGTATGTCTCTCTAGTTGGATCAAAGTTAATCAGCAGCTGAAGGCTGCCTTTTCTGCTCTATGTGAGCCTAGGAACGCCATTTTTGTGACGTGGTAACCTGTTTGCTTTATAGGCAGAGGACCTGGGTGGTAGGGGTAGGTTAGGGTAAATTAACCCTTTGCACTCGAGGCCTTTCTTTCTGGTATCTACTAGCAACTCGAGATGCTTTCTTAGTATTCTATTGCCACAAATGCTATGCTTAATCAGGTCACCTTTACCTTGTCGACAACCGTTTTATCCACACTTTGAGTTCCAAAGAAATTAAACAAATATTATTGTTGGCCGATTTACTGCGTGAAACCTAGACCGAGAGTCACCTCTCGAGTGCAAAGGGTTAATCTGGACTCAATGAAGTTTAGCTCGAGGTTCAAGGGCCGTCATGGTTGATGACAGAGTAGATTATCAATGTAAGTACCTTGCCAAGACGACGACGCCTCTGCCGTCGATGCCGGCCGCCGCGATGCCTCCTCGCCGAGACCTTTCCATCGCAGCCAACGCAGTCGTCGTGGTACGTGTTAGTTCCTTTCTTCCTGGTCCCCTTCAACCCGTGGATGTTACACTTGATCGTGCCGGTGACGTTGTTGGTGTCCGATCTCGATATCTCCTCCGACGACGTTTCCGGCCTCCCAGAGGAATACGGTAAATTTACTATCCAGACCGAGTTATCTCTAGAAAAAGAGAAAAGGAAATGTTCGATTAGCACATGGTTCACGTGGACACCGGGATGGGCCAAGCATCGCACTCTAGTCGAATCTGATGATTAGAAGCAGTGAGCAGTGATTAAAAGCAGTGAGAGAAAGAGAGAGAGAGAGAGAGAGAGAGAGAGAGAGAGAGAGAGAGAGAGAAAGAGTTGAAGGAAGTGGCACTAACCTAATAACAAACTACAGATTAATTTGATAGGCACCTGAGTGGTAGGGGTTACAAGGAGTTGCTACGAAGTAGGGTTATGTCTATTTGCGTTGGGGAACAGATACGAGCTCGTGGAAGGAGTACAGGTGCTACTGGTATTGGTTTGTTTACTGCTCTAGTGAGCAGTTTAAATGGACACCTGAGTGGGTCAAGCAATGCAAAGAACGCGAGCAGAGGAATAGAGCTACCCCAACAGCAAAGCCATGCACACAACTTCTACAGCTTATACTTATAATTACAGGGGAACCTCGAGAGTTCCTGATAAGCCAGTGAGAGGATCCAACGAGCGCGGAAGGAGAATAGGGACCAGGAGTATCTCTGGTCAGACCGTCGGCCGCGCAATCTACTGCGCGCAGCTAACTCGAGTTCCACTTAATTCATGGTGCCTCGCAGGTCTGCTCTCTTGAGCTTTGACCCGTAACTCTTTGGCTGCCTATCAAATAGACCAGCAATCATCAGCCAACGTGATTGCTTCAAGTGGTTGGCCTAGCACCTAACCCCTAATCTGTCCGGGCCTGTTCTAGACCTATCCACGATAATCTGCTTACGGATCTCAGAGATTGATTTTCGACGCTAACGAATTGTCGCTGCTGCAAAATACGCGACACATCGATAATTGAAAATCGCAGGCTAACCTGTTATTATTGCGTCGAGCGAAGAAAGGTAGAGGATGCGTCAACAATGATAACGATACGGTAGCTGAGAGATCTTCCGAAGTAAACGACGCGGTTTACACGAGACTATCTCTAACAGATAGCGGACTATGTCAAGGGTTGGACCTGTTAGGTTAAAGAGGTCTGTTTCTTTTAGGACACGATACAAATTGACCTGTCAATGTTTACTGACGTGTGAATCTAAACTTCATTAGGAGTACCTATCTACTGAAGTTTATAGGCTAGGAACTTTACCTACCTGTGTCTTTTCCGTACCTGTGTCATCGTTCTACAGAGAATTCTAACCTCAAACATTATGAGTTAATAAACTTATCTTCATCAAAGCCCTTGCTTATTAATCGTGCTACCCAGTTGAGCTCTTGGCAGCTTCTATCTCATTCTAAACGGTTTTCTGTGGGCTAAGTGGAAGCACGCGATACCGTCAGATCTTATCATCGAGTATCAATTACTGGTGTCCAAGCCGAAAGACACACACGTCCCCGTCTAGACGAGGGCCGACAAGCGCAAATAGAGGGACGAGTGGAGGTCTATAGATTCTTCAGCGGCGGTGTACAAATAACACGTTATCAACGGGAACAAGTGCGCTTGTTGATGTTTACCACCGACGACCAAATATGGAACTGCGAATCACGTGTATCGAGTACCATTCCTATCTGGAGTAAACAGCAACGAAACCGATACCTGAGATCGTCCAGGAGGGAGACAATAAAAAAGAGTTGAAAACAAACTCTTCTACTTGTATACTTCATAAAACTTCATTAATTGCCATTATCGTAATTCTGAAAGGCTATATAAAGGCGAAGGATATATAGTATCACGAAAAACTGTATAAAGTTGCGAATTAATTCCGTCGAGAATTCAGTAAATAAAGAAGCGTACATTAACACTATGGCGTCCGGTGACACCACCGTGGTGCGATGCGAAAACTATCGGGCAAATGCCAGTGGCACCACTGCGGTGCCATGCGAAAACTATCAATCAGTCCTATCGGCGGACGCCATAGTGTTAACTAAAATTTGTTCCAGCGTTTCGCAAACGTTAAGGCGAGAATCGTACCTAAAAGAAACTTCGACTAAGTGCCCAATCGAGTCGAATTCCGAGAATCGGCCGCATTAAAATTGCGCGAAAAGTAAAGATGGCGTGTACTCGCGCGATTTCGTGAAAGACGCATAAACGAAAGGAGGATAGAAAGGAGAAAAAACAAGGCGACGCGAGAGATAGCCCGACGGATCGTCCTAGTACTTCGGACTAACCTTCCTGCTGAGGCCACTTCGCGCAACCGTGAACTTTAGGAAAAGCGACAGAGATTATCGTCGTGCCGCTGATAAAGCGTTGCGCGGACCGCTCTCTCTCGTTCGCCCGCGCGCTGTTCCGGTTTTCTGTTCCGTCGCGTTCGTGCACCGCAATTGACCGACAGTCACGGTTAATAACACGCTTGCTGGTGTAAACCACCTACTATCGACGAGGTAAAAGTCCACTCCGACTCTTCTATCGACCAGCACCGAAGAATAACAACATGTTGATTGCAGGGATCAGCTTGCTGGCCGCGGTTCGAGGAGCGGTGTACCATAACGGGTGTACCAGCGGCTAAACGGAATCTGCGAAGAGCTAGGGACGAGAGCTTCCGGATGACGAAGGGTCAGGACCGTCGGTGAGCACCCGAGGAATCGTCACACCGAGGAACTCATCGTCAACAGCCTCGTAATCTAAGTAGAGCCCATGGTTAGGTCTGGGTTAGGTCTGGGTTAGAACCCATCGTTAGGGATGGAAGAACCCAGTCCTTCGGTTGAGGTCTGGATGTCCCACGACTGAACATCAGCGAAGAAACAGAGAATGGTACCGAGACCTGGTCCACTGCTCAGGTGTCTCAAAGTCAAAATAGAGGGCCCTCGACCTAACCAACGCGATGCTCTGTACAGCTGACATTTGGATCTAGTATCTCCAAGTCAACATCGAGTACTCTCAACCTATCAAAGTAGTACCACACTTTGGTATCCTAAAGTCGAAAATCTACCCCTAACTCAAACAGTCGATCTCTATGATTGAACCTGGCCTGTCCAGGTGTCACCATCGATCGCAGCCAATCCTGGACCCGGACCACTGTCCGGGCATCCCAAATTCTACTTCCTTTAAACTTTAAACGAAACCAGCTATCAGATCGACGCGCTAGACCGCGTTACGCAACCGCCCGTGTTTTGACAAGCCAGTCTCCGATCGCGATCCGAACCAGTCGGTTGCGGGTTAACCTCTCATGCGCGTAATTGCAGTCCAGAGATGGAAAAAACCAGGCGAAGGATCGCGAGCTCCGCATAACAAGTCGTCCAAGTTAACTAGCGATTAAATCAGCCTTGGTCCGCGGGCTCGGTAGTAGGTGACCATTATCCGAAGCGGAGTATCGCGACGGATCGAAAAGCGTGCCCGGTCTCCCGGAACGAGACTGCTCGCGACTGGAAGAGTCGTCGAGAGGGTTAACAGAGTTACAGAGAGAGTTAAGGGAACTTAATCAGCAACCAGAGCAGCGACGACCTTTCAATTTCACCTCCCGGGATGTTCACTCGTGTCGAGAGAAAGCGCGAAGTCCACTGACGAGACCTTCCTTCAATCGCGCCGCGGTTCGAGGGCGTGACAGGAAAATTAGGTATCCCAAGGGGATCCTGAAGCGAGCTCGTGCAGGATAGCGCAACTAGAGTGTGGTAGGTGAAGCACCGAAAGCAAATACTAAAGAAAAAATGGAGAAACTAACATCCACTCACAAGGCGCCTACGGGGCTGTCCGTGTCCTGCTTGCAGTACTGTTGCAGGTGCGAGAACGAGCACTGACGGTAGCAGCACTCCTCCACCAGTCCTGGTTCCATCGAGTCCTGGGGATCCGCTTCTGCGCTATAGGAGAACGGCTCGTTGTACCCGCGATCCTTACAAGCCAGCGCTAAAGCATCGCTGAGGCTCTTGGAGCACAGTCTGAGCAGCGATCTCTTGTAAGGGACACCGCTGACGGTGTCCAGGAGCGCCAGGAGGATCAGGCCTATCAGGACCATCCTCCCCGTTCTCGTTCTTCTCGACGTCATCGTTCCGCACCCTGGTCTCGACATTTCTGACGCTCGACCGTGTTAACTCGACACTGAATGTCCACGATGCGACGGATTCGCGCGCGGTACACACGGGGATTTTCGCTTCTGCCAAGTGATCACGGTTGAACCGCTGACTGCGGCATTCTCCAGCCACGTGTCCTCGAGCTTCCCACCGCGATGGACCAAACAGTCTCGAGTGGTTCCGGTCCAGGTGCCTATCCTGGTCCCTATTAATCCTATTTAACAGTCTTTGGCTCTCAGCGTGGATTCCCTCGCGGAATTTCTTCAGAAACGGTCTGAAGTTCGGGTTGTCTGGTCTCCGATCTCTTCAACTGTCACTTGTGGTAGGTGTTCGCGGATCTCGTGTGTTGCTGGTAGGTAGGTGTTGCGATCAACTGTCGTGGCCGACGGCAGTGGTTGAAAGACGGATGGCGGTGTCCGAGTTGTTTCTGAAGAGACCTCCGCTGGTACCGAGTTTGTCGGTGCCACTGGTACCGGCTTGCCTCGCCACGCGGTTCTTGTTCCACATTTCACGGATTAGAGGAGAGGAACGATAAGACAGCACGTTGAGAGAGGGGTAAAGATGGCCGGAGGAGTAGGCGGAGGAGGAAGATGCGAATACGGAGGAGGGAGAGGAGGTCATACTGGACCGCTGGTGGTAGACGGTGCTCGTGTGCGATCTATAGTACACCGGGAGAAGGGGTCGATGAAGCGAGATCGTTCGATCTCTTTCTCGTTTTCGCCGGACAGAGTGGCCTATCGGGTCCACCAGCCGTCATCGCTGACGTCTCGATCGAGAGACCAATTCCAAGGTACCGCATCGCAGCTCTCCCCAGTGTTTCGTTTTCCGTTCTTCCGGCCTCTCTTTTGGCAACTTTTCCCGCGGTATCGTGCGCCGTTTCCCCGACAGTCGTTTCTTCGATCCCCGGACCATTTTCGCCAGTGTTTCACTTCGGCGTTATCCGGCCAGGAGGGTTCACCTAGGATCGTAACAGCCCTCTCCTCGAGGTGGTACTCGAGCTCCGGTCCCCAACGGTGCCGAGGACGTTTTCCCGTGAGTCGTTTCGTACTGCCGGAGTTTAATGCATCACCAGGGGTCTAACTCGTTGTGCCTCGGATACAATTAGTATAAATTCCACGCACGGGGCTCCGTCGGCACCGAGGCCGAAGTAGAGAGTTTCCCTGGTCCCAGGACCAGACAGTGTCATCCTTTCTCGAGGTCCCAGGTCTCAGCAGTGCCACAGGACCCTCTCTTTCAGGTTATTTCGTACTTCTGGAGCCCAGCGCCACTCCGCCAGCGGTTCTCAGTGCCGCTCGCGATGAACAGTGCCATGTGCCCGCGGTATGCCCATCAAAGGGTGGCCATTATCGGGGACGTCGATTAATCACGGCTATTTTGCGCCTCGACCCGATATATTCCGCGTATTTTTTGAGCAGATACAGCGCCGGGGGACGTCCGTTCGACCTCCTACCCTCGTTTCTTTCCGTCGATTGCACCAGTTTCTGATTATCGAAGCGGAGGCCTTCGCTCGCGGACATCCTCTCCTCCCTTTCTCTCTGCTCGCGGTGGTCATCGGGTGGTGCGCGTCTCCGACGATCACCGCGTTTCATTCGCTTCGTTTTTTCCACTCTCGATTCAGGAACCAGGTAACGCCTCGTTTATCCCACTCGTGGCTACGATTAAACGACCGCGATACACGTCTTTGTTTGCGACCTCCGGTCGCCAAGCTCTCTTCGCGATCTGCTGTTCTAGCTGGTTTCGTCGGTTCAGGAACAACGATTCTTGGTAGCCAGGAGGACGCTGGGCGTGTCAGCTTACAGCGTTGGGATCGATTTCAATGTTTATCGCTCGGTTTCGCGATCTTCAGCGTTTAAGAGTCTGTCTCGGCGATGATGGCTCGAGAAGGCTGCGAAGGCTCGCTTACCGACAGCGAAATTTGATATTAAACGTTGACGATGCCGAAGATAAGAAAATTCAGTCGTGATGCATTGCAGTCATTCGAGCACTTCACATTCGATTTTCGTAGGTGTACAGGCACCAGAGTATTTATTTAATGCGACGAACCATTTCGGTATTTTTATTTTGCACTATTACAGGCATCATCGCACGTTACACATGACACGTCATGCAAAAAACGCACACGTGCTATTTTCAACTTATTTTTTTTTTGTAACAGATTTAACGGAGTCGAAGGTCAAAACGCGGTTCACTTAATTGCGTATAATAAATAAATAAAGGTGAGAATCTTGGTTCAAGCAATCTGCTCCGGCTAGCGGCACGTGGCACTACGTCATCGGCAGCACGGGTAACATTTGCGTTACGTATGTCAACAATTCCTCCGCACACCTTGTAGGCGGTACGTAAGAGGAGTGACATCTAAGATAAGTAGAATGAGCTCGCCGCTGACGTTTTACACCGGCACGTGCCCATCCCTGAATCGCAAGAAAACAGAGTACACGAAACGCTCTTTGCGAAACGAAGATTCACTGTGGAAGGTGTAGGGGAGAAAATACGGCATTTTTAATACAGAGAGAATAATTCTTTATTATTCGTAGTTTAAACAATTTTAGGTTAATTCTATGTCGGATGACATATGTCAGAAAATGGTCGATCAAAATTGTTATGAATATTTAAAGACTTTAAAGAATATTCAAAAATGAAGTCTGCGAAATTTGTTTATTCATAGAAAGGTTACCTCTGTGTCAAATGAGCTCGTAGATGTTGATAAAAAATCTCATCAGGGTTCAAAGGCGAATCCTTAAATCGATCAATGAATGCTCGATAAATGAATTTTAGAAAATCTGTCTAATCATAGAAAAAATGTCTTCTGAAAATACTATTGCTCAATGGGTTTCCTGTTATACAAATTTTAAACTCGCCCCACGTCCATTCAACTTTACAGCGCCTGACATGACCGCCATTTTTTGAATGACTGGCGCACCTGCCGCGAAGCTGGGTGAACTCTGTGTACCTCGTACGTCTTTACCGATAAGCCAAGCAAATGTTTAAGTCAGTGCATCGCACCACGCGCGATCGTCGGCCTGATGGTTTTAACCTCCAGCGTCACGTTCGGCCGTCAACGATCTCGCCACGTGTGGAACGATAGTAAATCTCGCGGCACGTGATCGCGATTTACAAGAAAATTCTTGGGATTTTTCTGAAAAGCGAAGGAATAACGCCAAGGACACGGCAAGCGACACGTGTACCCATTAATGACGGTGGTGTAGCAGCGGCGGGGCAAGGGGCTCCCAGTGACTGCTCGCCGCGAGCGTGTGTCGTTGCACCAGGTTGGAAGCCACCCATTTGCGTAATTGCCGATTCACCGTTTCGAGAATGCTCGCTGTGTTTACCCGCGTACGTTTCGGTTCGATATTCTGCGAACACTGTTCGCGTTGTCTTAGTCCGATCGGACTGTTTACAACGGAACAAATTTAACGATTCACTGGGAATTGATTTGAGAATTTTTCAACCGTGGACATATTTAGAAATATATATTTTTAATCGTACGATTACGATGATAATTCCAGTGATAAATTCAGAAATTTCAGGAATGTCTAAAATACAGTTTCCAGAGTTTAACATTCTTGTTGTGTCATGGAATAATAATGTTTGTACTTAACATAGAGTTTCATACATCGCAGGGTCATTTCGCTTGGAGTCACCCTGTAGACGCTCTCCATGTTCCTAATAACGTTCTTCAGAAAAATTCGGAGGAAGCGTTATTTAAGTTCTTAATATAGTTTCGTTTCATTGTAAATAGGCGATCGTAGTTCGATATGTCTGACATGATGACCATGCAAAGCTGCCAATTTCGTTTGCAGAGATTAGGCGAACGGAGGCGAAAGTGCCCCGTGTCCAGCGCGATTATTCGCCCACATTTTTCCCTATCGATATGAAGTGACTAGTACAAAAAGAATGTCACAAGACACAGCAAGTGACACGTGTTGTCCTGTCTTCCACGTGGACTGATATTTTGAATGATGGGTTCAATCCCTACCAACGTGGAGTGATTGGTACACGAAGAATTCAAACAATCCTCCTCTCTCTATCATGATGTCACAAGATACAGCAGGTGACACGTGTTGTCCTGTCATCCACGTGGACAGATACAAACAATCTCCCTCTCTCTATCACAATGTCACAAGAAACATCAGGTGGCATTTCTGTCGCTTCACCACACGCGCACAGCCATTTTAAATTTTTGAACATGACACGACCCCTAGTACACGAAGTCTATAACAATTTTCATAGTCTCCATCTCCCTATTAATGTCACAAGATATATCAGGTGACATTTATGGTCGTTTCACCACGCTTGGACAGCCAAGCTCTTGAATTTTTGAACTCCTTAGATAGGCCCTCCCCTTGTGTACCCCTAGTACACAAAATACACTATAACAATTGTCTTAGTCTTCCTCTCTCTATCACAATGTCACAAGATACATCAGGTGACATTTGTCATCGTTGATTCCACATGGACTGCCATTTCGAATTCTGTATTCAACCAATGACCCCCAGTATACGAAAAATGTAATAATTCTCTAAATTTTCCTCTCCCTTCCATAATGTCACAAGATACAAGTTGTTCGCCGTATTCCTCGATCTCGCCGGTTAGACTTCGGCCAGAAAAGTTTTGGGGCGCCCCCTGGGAGCCGCGCGAACGGGGTTAAGTTCGTGCGGATATCGTCGCCTGTCGATCATCCTCTATCGGCTGTTTTGCATGGATTTTTGTTCACGGATCGCAGGCATCGCAACGGAAACTCGGTCGTGCAGCTGGCCGAATCTAGGTCCGATTTTCTTCAGGATAATCACGTGCGCCACTGTTGATTGTACTTTGAAATCGGAGCTCGCGGCGATATCTGCGTACACTTTGGGAGGGCCTATTTAAGGGTCTTCTGCGAAGACGAAACAAGAGTCTGGATCGAGAGCCTTCCGATTAGGCGAGCAATCGGAGACGCGGCGCTTCGCTGGTGGTCCTCGAAATTTCGACGGTCTGGCTAAGCACTGATCTATTCCACTAAATGGCTGATCTGTCCACGCGACGCTCTTGGTTCTCAGAATCGTTGAGATTGCAATCTTTGTACCTAACGGAGCTTTGGATTTTTCAACTTCAAAGCTTCCAATTAAGCCTCCAAATCCAAAGCTCCTAACTCCAAAGCTTCCAACTTCAAAGTTTTCAACTTCATAGCTTCCAACGGCTAAGTCTTCAAATCCAAAGCTTTCAACTCTAAAGCTTTAAATTTCTATGCTTCCAACTCCGAAGCTTTCAACTTCAAAGCTTCCAAATCCAAATGTAACTTTAATAATAAGTCGCTAGAACTTGGACGTTCGAGAAGGTAACCTGACTAAGAACGCACTTACAGTACTCCTTATCACGCTTGCAATTCTAAGAAGTGTGATAGACGTACGATGTTTTTCTCGTTTGTTTCACTTTCTCAGATAATAAAATGCTTAGTTTCGCGTTCCATAATCACTATGTTCGGTACGATTTCCATAAACATTAGCGTGAACTGTGACTCCCGGATACTT